AGGACCCTTGCAGGGTGTGACAGCCAGTGACTGCAAAAGCAGCAATGCCAAAGTGCTTTTTGGAGCTGTGCAGCCCCATGGCTTTTCCCTTTCTAACACTCTAGAAAGAGGGAGAGCAGGGGAGGTCGGGGCAGTCAATCAACACTAACAAACTGAAGCGGTCCTTGCAATTCAGCTTGGACCAAGAAAGGTGGGAGATCCCAGCAGCGGAAGCCTGCTACTTCCTCACGGAGCAGCACAGCCCAAGAGAAGGGAGGGCTGGCTGTCTTTGCCCTTCTCCTAAAAGCCCTCTCAGAAAGAGTCAACCAGTCCTCCGCACTGACCCCACCAGGCAGGGCACAGAAAAAAGGCCGCATGCGAAAGGCTGGTGCCCACAGCTGAGCTCCCAGCACTGGAACTGCAGGTACAGCGTGAACTAGGCAACTACAGGCGTCGCTTAGTCTCCCCACCTCCCTCCTTTCCTCTCCACCCCTTCGAGCTTTTCACATTGTCCGTCACCCCTGTAATACAAGTGGTATATCAACCACAGAGGCCAGAGGAAAGTTTACCTGCCTGCCCCCCAAACTCTTTTTACAACCGAGAAGAGGGAAGGGGAGGCCGAGGCTCTGGAGCGTCACATGCAAGCTGCAAGCTGCCGAGGGGTGGGAGGCTCATGACAAGCAGGCAGCCACCTGGTAGGCGCCCTCAGCTGTGTGCTGGACGCTGTGCTCCTGCAGCAGGCCCAAGTCCAGGAACCGCTCCCCGCACCACATGCACTTGTACTGCTGCTCCCGGGCATGCACACTGTGGTGCTTGTTGAGGTGCTCGCGCTGCTTGAAGGCCTTCTCGCAGGAGGGGCACTTGTAGGGCTTCTCACCAGTGTGCACACGCCGGTGGCGCTGCAGGTCCGAGGCGTACTTGAACCGCTTGTCACAGTCAGGGCACTTGAGGGGCTTCTCACGGGCTGGGTCACAGCGGTGCTGCACGAACTCGGAGGAGGAGAAGAAACGTCTCTCACAGAGCGTGCACTTGAGGGGCTTCTCGGAGCAGTGGGCCAGCTGGTGCTTCTGCAGCGCTGAGGCCCGCTTGTAGGACTTGTTGCATATGCCGCACTTGAAGGGACGCTCCGCGTTCTGCACGCACTTGTGCCGCAGCAGCTCTGAGGACTGGTTGAAGCCTTTCTGGCACACATTGCACTTGAAGAGGTTTTCTATGCCGTGCACATGCTGGTGGTACACCAAGTGCGAGGGCTGCACAAAGCCCTTCTCGCACAGGTTGCACTTGAAGGGCTCCTCAGCCTTGTGCGTGCGGCGGTGGCGCATCAGCGCGTACTGCTGCTTGAAGCTCATCTGGCACAGGTCACATTTGAAGGGCCGCTCCTCGCTGTGCGTGCGCTCATGCTGCCGCAGGTCAGATGGGCGCTTGAAAGCCTTCTGGCACTCACCACAGCGGAAGGGCCGCTCCCCGCTGGGCGTGCAGGGGTGCTGCAGCAGCTCTGACGATTCCTTGAAGTGCAACTCACAGACGTTGCACTTGAAGAGGTGCTCCCCGGAGTGCGCGTACATGTGGCGCACCAGGTGGGAGCGGTGCTTGAAGGTCTTCTCGCACACCGTGCACTTGTAGGGTCGCTCTGAGCTGTGTGTCCGCTTGTGGTGCACCAGGTGGGATGACTGGCTGAAGCTCTTGTCGCACAGCGTGCACTTGTAGGGCTTCTCACCTGTGTGGATGCGCTCATGCCGTGACAGCTCCGAGAGGTGCTTGAAGGTTTTCTGACAGATGGAGCAGCTGTAGGGCTTCTCCAAGGTGTCAAGAGGCTGCAGATGCTCTGCCTCAGGGGTCTTGTAGGTTTTCTCACAGATAGAGCACTTCATGGCATTGCTGTTGTGGACATTGTGGTGCTGTGCCAGCGAGGTCAGGAGGGAGAAGCCCATCTTGCAGACACCACACACAAAGGGTTTCTGCTCCACCTGGATGCACTGGTGTTCGAGGAGGTCGGTGGCCTGGTGGAAGACCTTCAGGCACTGGGTACACTGGAAAGAGCGATCATGGCCTGGCAAGCACTGGTGCTCATGCGGGTTGGAGAGGTGAGTGAGGTCGTGGCCGCACACCCCACATTTGTGGGACAGGTCTCCAACCTGGAGGGAGGCGTGCTGGGGGTGCTGCAGACCGGGGTCTGGCTGGAGCAGGATGCCGTAGACAGCACAGCCCAAGGAGTTGTCAGTGCTGGGCGGGATGGAGTGCTCTGTGAGGGCAGCTGCCCCAGCGTGGTGCTGCTGCGGTGGCTGTGGTGGTTGCTGCTGTTGCTGCTGCCAGCTTTCTGACATGCTTGGGGAAAAGCACGGGATTTCAGCAGGGGCAGCTTCAGCTTCTTGGTGGAGAAGGTTCAAGCAAAAACAAAAATTGAAAGTATCCAAGATCCTGATTCCCCGTAGCTGATCTGCTGAAGTCAAGGACAGAAAATCCAGCTGACAGCCAGGATCCTGGGAAGCAAAGAAGTGACCAAGACTCCAGAGCCTCCTCCTTGGATCAGTGCAAGTTCTTTGTGGACTGATCTGATTTGGCTTTTTCCAACAAAAGAACAGGAGGCAGAAGCAAGACAAGAGGAGGTCCTTCTCCGTGCTGGCTGCAATGTGCTCGCATTTGGGAAGGGTGAGGGAAACAGCACAGGGAACAGCTCTCTCTGCAAGGAAGAGGACAGCTCGTGTCAGGTCTTGGAAGAAAGATGGGCAACCCTCCAGTCAACTTCCTCCCACAATTCGCTTTGAAAACTCTCCTGTGTCCCTGCAAAACTGCCAGGAGGCCAGTTTGGAGGAGCTGACCCGAACCAGAGCCCCCCTTACTGGACCTGGGGAGGGTCAGGCTCTGCCCACACACAGCCAGGCATGTGTTTGAGCCATGTGCTCTCATGAGAGGCAGCACAACTGCCCAGGTCCAAGTCAGCAAAGCCACTACCCTGGCTGCTGTCAGTCACTGGATCTCCCAGCCCCACTGGGGGACACAGGCTGAAAACACCAGTCTCTGCACAGGCTGAGGTACACCAAATGCTGTGCAATCAAGAAGCTACCAGATCACATTTTACAGACATCAAGGCAGATCCCAACCCAGCTGAAACACCCCTGGGAGGCAGTTCTGCTCCTCCTGCCACTTGGTTATCGGGCATATTATCCAAAGGATGTATATAAGAGATTTCCTCTGCTCTCTCTGGGCAGCACTTGTAGACTAGGAAGAGCCAGAACCAAGCTGAAGGCTTGCCAATATTATCCTACCTACAAAACACAGAACCCACAGGTATCATGTACAGCACCTGCTGTGAAGATGAAAGAATTGTTAAAGCAGTAGCTCAGCTGAATCTCCTACCAAACCATGGAATAGAAGTACACCAGAGCTGCTGCCTGGTCTTACTGCAGAATATCACATCTCACTAAAAAGCTCCAGTCTTGCTACAGATGTCCAGAAAAAATGGTATAAACTTGAGAGAAAAGTAAAAGCCACAAGTGAGCAGCACAGGCAACACATCTCAAGACAGAAGAAGGGTCCAGGCTTTGGCAAGAAGCAGCCTGGGCCATGAGCCCCTAACCCCCACCAAAGCACAGACAGGAATGGGCCAACTCGCCTGCCCCCACCCAGGGTAAGTAAAACCTGGGTCTTTCAGGAAGGTGTTAGTTGTGTTTAAAACCAAGTGATAACGGGCACCAGAGAAACCCACTTCCCACCTTTACCAGTGCTGAGCTGAGACCAGATGGTTCCCTACAGCTTGGGCAGCTTCTGCCTGTGGAGACACTGCATTATTTTGACTGCCAGCACAATTTTGGGCAGTAAAATGCCCAAGGGTCCCATCACCACGCTGCCAGAATGCAAGACCTCCTTTTTTCTACACAACTCACCTTGCCTGTGGACATGGGCTGGCAGTGGTAATCCACAGCACGGAGCTCGATGGGATGGATACAGAACTTCAGCCCGGCTGCGGCCCTCCCCCTCAGGCAACGTTAACCACGGCAGGAGCATCCCAGACCCATGGAGAAGAGGAAGAACGAGGAATACCAACCTTGGCTTACAGAGG